CTCTGTTTCCAAGAGTCTTGTTTTTCTGAAACCATGTTCGCAGGGGGCCATCCCCCTCACCAGTGGTGGATGGCCACCGAAGAGGGGTGAGGGCTGAAAACGTAGCTGCGGAACTGTTGCGCAAGCTGTTCTCCTCTCGGTTTGCTTCTCATGGTGGTTCTCATGCTATTCCCCTAACCCTTTTTTTACGCGCAGCGTTGATTTGGTCGGCTAAGTATTCAGTAACCAGCTTTCCGCAGTCAGGCGCTAACCCTTTGTTAAAACACCTTCAACTCACTGGACGCAGCCGCCTTTCCGTTCCATCGCTCCTCTTGCCGTGGATTCTGATACTGGATGAACCTGTGACTATAGGTGGGTGTGGCATTTTGCGTGGCAGGTGGTGACAGGGTCGCACTTTGGGATGCCAGCCGTAGACCCTGCCGGCGCCCGAAGCTGGTCCGCTTCCCGGGCTTGTTTCGCCCGGAACCGCTGTTGTCGCGCGCGGCTTCAAGCCGGCGAAAACCTGTTTGTCCTGCAACGCAAAGCTATCTTTTTTCATCGAATAGCATCTAATGGGCTGTCTGTTTCAACAATCAAAATGTCCTGCTATTCGATAAATAAAGTGGGTCTAGCAAGGTCATGAGCTTTCAAGCCGTCGTTTCTGCGCGAACCCACCAGACAAGTCCAAGATCAAGAGAAACAAATTACGTGGAGCGACCCCCCACCGTGACATTTCTTTCATTCATTTGTTTCATGGGGAGCATGCTGCCATGGCCGGAAGTGTTGTGGTTCTCCATTTTGCTGTGTGGTTAGTTACGTGAGTATTGGGGAGTTCGCATCGCTTGCCAAATGTGGCCAAGGAGACTTCAAAACATATTCCTACTGTATTCGCAAAACTTGAAAATGCAGGAGGCTTGTGGTGCAGGGGCTAGCCTCAGCTTTCAGCACTGCATGCAGTCACAGCCATAGGCTGGGCTGTTGGTGAAGATGCTTCCTCGTCCTTACTGTGCTTCCAACGCAGGGTGCAAGCGACTTGTCCATCAGGAGCACCAGGAGTGACGCATTGCCGCATTGCGCTCTTGCGAGCAACTATAGTGGTGACTCTCTTGGCTTCTGTTTTCCCGACCCACCGTCCCTGCTGTGGCTGTACAGTAGGGGTAGTTTTCCCGCCTCGACCTTGGCAAGCAGGGTGTGCGCTTTATTCGTCATTCAATGCGTCAAAAAGTTCTACAGCGCTAGGGCGCTAGGTTGGCGCAGGTGTTTTTGGAATGCTAGTGACTGGTTTTTAGTTTGCTAACCACATGTAGTCGTTATGTAACCCAAAAGCCATCAACTTTTGTAAGTGAGGAAGAGCTAAGCAGTGCTCCTCCTAATGGCTGCGAGATGAAGTTCATGCACTGGAGATGGAGATAGTGAAACGATGATGCAGTTGTATAAATAACTCTAGCAAAGCAACCAGAAGTTCATGAAACTACGGTGAAAATCACGAAACGAACAAGTCGACGTTGATGATCCCTCAGAAGGTCATACCCTCCACCCACCTTGCGCTAAAACCAAACAGGGCTAAACAAACCGCTGTTACTGATGGTGATGGTGATGGTGATGAACTATGAGTGCTGTGTTGGCCACATAAAGCACAGTAACATCAGCAACATGTCAAAAACACAAAAAGCGCAGGGTCTTATGTTTTCACCATAAATTTATGGGATTTCTTTTGTTCGAGCTCCTGGAGGGACCGGAGTATACACGATTTACACGATGCGGTCTGAACATGTAATCTTCAGATCGTGTGACGATTCGACCGGACGCTTGGTGACCGTTGAGCGAAGAACATGGTAGTCCCCAAGCACAGTTGCCAGTAAGAGGGCACACATGATGTTTGCATTTCGGAAAATTGAGATTTGTGATGATTTGTGCGTTTGTTCAAATGGTTTAGAGTCTAGAGCCACCACGAAACGATGCATACCAAGGGGTCTATTCCTGCCATTGGTGCCAGGGCCTCAGACAATGCACAGTTTGCATGTTGCAGTTCACTGCAGTTCCGAAATGTAGCCAATTCCATTGGCTGTGGTGGTGGTTCCCAAATCGATACAAAAGTATCCAAATGTATGATGTTAGACAATTTTTTAGTCTATCTAATGTGGGGTCACTGTCACTGTAATACTATTTTTCTCGTTCCATGCATACAATTAGTTATGCATTAACGTTTTGCAGAACTTGTGGTGGAACTGCAAACATTGAGCTGTTGGCCAAAAAGATCAACACATCAAGACCCGAAGTGAATCGTATTGGACTTTTACTGATGCCAATCCCTCACAAATTGTTCACACAAATTAATAATGCTCACAGTCTTTGGACCTGACGGCATCCCCGAAAGAACAATTAAGATCATCAAACCCGAGGAAAAATAGTGCCAAATCACGAGCGGAAGGTTTGAAAATAGCTACTGTGACATCGCACCATCTCCAGCCAGGCTTCTAGCCGCACCCTGCTTTGTAGGCTCCATTTGGAGGCGCCATCACTGGCACCGTCCTCGTCGTGTGTTGGACCTTGCACGAATGGAATTTCAATCTTCCCCCTTTTTCAGATTCTGTCAGTGATGCGTCCATACACCCACTTTCATCCCAAATTTCTTGGTTCACTCCCTAATTCAAACAGTGCAAATAAGCCACCCTGCATGTGATGTGAACACAGGGGTGTCAGATCGGAAATCCTGTGCTTGGTTGCTGTCCTACGTGGAGGCCAACATAGGGCAACATGCAATATATAACCCAAAAAGAGAAGGCAAGGGATCAGTCCTATGTTTTGTTGAGAGGTGGGCTGATGGCAAGCAGCACATACACTCATACAGTCTATATCTCAAAACGGTGCGTTGAACATGTTCTTTCTTGGTAGTTTGGCACTAGATCTTTCATCAGAGGGAGTGTTCAAACCCTCATGTATCCTTGACGCAATGCTTCCTGTCAGGAGAAGCTCGCGCCTGACACTGCAAGCGAAGGGTTTGGGGGCCCACAGACGAGTGCGTCGCGTCTTTGATCCATAACGAGGTTTTGGACTAAACCCCCGGAAATCCCAAACTGCTGGCTTGTAGGGTCAACGTTTCACAGCTTTCTCATGTCTCCTTTCGTAGGAGCTGTTGCAAACGTCTTGTTTGGATGTTCCATTGGTGTACCGCAAGGTTCTCTTGCGCGTGCCACTTGTGCAGTTTTGGCCCGAAGTTCTGGAAGCAGGATGTCTCATGTTTCCAGGCATTTGCGCTGAATGGAGTAGCTCTAGTTTCCTAGGAGGTGGCAGGGTGTTGTCCATGAATCATCGGGGTGAGTTCAACACTGATCCTTACAGCTTTGTGTATCACCTGTTCAGGTACGATGAAGATGCTGCAATCCCTGGCAATCCCTGCAGCTTCCGACCGTGAATCCATCCGTTTTGGTCACACCGAACTTCCGACCGTGAGTCACAAGCCTCGAGAACTTCAGGTCCCTCAGGTACTCCCCTTAAAATTGATTCGCTCGATGAGTATATAGGATTGGGGCTTCTTGGCCCTGCATGAGTAAAGCCTGGCTTTATCCCCAAACTATACTACACGTGGCTGTCTGCACGTGCCACAGTCGAAGCACATGTTTATCATTGTAATTATAGATGCCCTTCTTGACGGTTGCAGGCTGGAAAAGAAGCCCAACTAGCCAAGTCGACATGTTTGTAGGACAGCCACTTTTGGGCCCAAAAGTACCTCATGCTACCTCTGGATGTCAGAATCCATTTGATCCCCTGAATCCATCTGATATTCATGGGTTGATGTTTCATAGTTTGTCAGGGTTCTTTTTCCTGTAAACAAACTCTAAAGCACCTGAACACGAACCACAGGTCCAGGAGAAGATGCTCCAGACACTCGGCAAAAAAAACACAGATGCTCCAGACACTCTGGTCAGTGTAGATGCTTGGGCACAAAGGCACCAAAGTCGATGTACTCCCACCAACACTCAGATGATCCATCCTTAGGAAATGTACGCGGAGCGTACCCTCCCTCGGGTATAGCAACACTCAGTCAAAAGTCACCCCTTTGGAAGGCTATTTGCATCTACAGATTTGAAGTTTGCACTTCCATTGTCGGATGGAGAGTAGTGTGTATCATTATATATCGGTTTGTCACTGGGCTTGTTTGGTACCTTTAGGGAAGGGTTGTTGTCCCCTCAGACATGTATAATGGATTATGTTTGTGATGTCCATGTGTATATTGTTTCGCAGGAGGGCAATCAAGAAAACGGTATGTCATTTGAAGCCTGCTACTTCGCTACTTCGGTACTTCAACTACCCCTTCTTTGCGGAAGATGTGGACTTGAAACAGGAGAGAGTCGCCAACCGATGGTAGGTTGGCTGCTACTGTATACTGTACTTTTCATTCTAGACAGAGAGGTTCAGCGAACAGGTCTTTCCAAGCTTCCATTCTCGTCAGAGGTTCTCTATTTAAGCGTGTTGCGTTCTGAATAGGTTCAGTTCGCCCTGTAGGCGAAGCTGGTTGAGTGCCAATCCGAGCAGTGCTCATGGTAAGTCATGATGATAAGTCCCAATTTTGATGTTGCAGCATGTTGGCCACTTGTTTGGGCTCTTGACAGACCATCCATTGCAAAAAACAGGAGAACTTCTGGCGGGGTCGATGAATTCCAAAGTCATGTAGGTGAACTGGTCCATCAGTGAACCTTTCAGGACCATTCCGCAGTTCGTCCGTGCGATGTCTGTCCGATCGGAAATCCTGGTAGGTGGCCCTAGGCAGGTCGATGGTTGCATGGGAAATGTCCACGGCGTCTGATGGGTGAATTCAACGGTTTGATGTGTGTCATGATCGATGAGTGAACCCTTTGGAATTTATAGGGGCAATCTCGGATTGATTGAAGGCTCGATTCTGGGTTGTTCTCGAAGAAGGGATTTGATCCCAAGCAGAACATGTCATAAACTGTCATTATTAGCAAAAAAGCAAATAACGTAAAAGAACCTATAATGCAATACATACCTTTTGGCTGAACCTTTTGCGCGCAAATCTACTTCCAAGACAAACGATCATCTCCAGATGCAACAACCAAGGGGACGGGGCAGTCACCGAAGAAGCACTGCGCTGTCGCCCGTGTGTGGGTTGACTGACACATCCATCGGACGATCCGAAACGAAGGGTTGGAGGCTCCAAGCGAAATATAGCAGCCTCTTTCTTAGCATCTCAACGGTATGTGATCGCCAGGGTCTCTTCTTTCTCGCCTGGATCTGTTGACCTTGAACACGCAGTTGGGTGAGAATCATCACTGTAGGCCAGCTCAGTCGCCAGCTCACTCGAACTCCGGTTTAAGTCATGGCTGCCGTGGCTATTCCAATACACTTGATGAGTGGCGCGACTTCTGTGGTGGAGATTCTGCCGGACACCACGGTGAAAAAGTTGAAGCAGCTGCTCAAGGCTGGGCTTGGCTGGGGTCCAAGCTGCTGGTTGGTGGGGTGCCATGAGCTGCTAGATTTCTATGAGGGGTTCAGGGGGATTTCCATGTCGACCACTTCAAACATACCCCCACTCCTTGTGTTTGGAATCCGGTGTATTGTATGTATATACAGTATATATATATATACATTGTATATGTGTGCCCAGAGGGTGGGCTTTTCATTCGAGGCATGATGTTTGTTTGGCGGCTGAAAGCAAGGATTGTTTGTTCATCGACCAGGCAAAGTGTGTCTTCTCGGAGTTAGGGGTAGATCGAACCACCGTTCTCGCACCAGCTGTAGGCCTTTCATCCTTCCCAAGATGAGCTCACCCAGGAACTCAGCACCGTACAGCTGATCCTCGACGGCCAGACACCTGGATCGAAGCAGACCATGTGGAACCGTGCTCGACCCATGAAATGACCATCTGGAACCTGCAATTGAAGAGACGTAAAACATCTGGGGTGGATGTTTTAGGATGTTTTGTGGATGTTTTTTGATATTTTGCGGTGGTCCTCCACCTGGTTGAGTGGCTGCTTCCTGGTTGAGTGGTTGAGCCAAGGAAGTTGGATGAGCATGATGATGAGACTGCAGTCTCGGCTGGGATTTCTCCACTTGCAGACGTGCAGGTGACAAAAGCAAATTTCCTTGAGTGATCAGAAACGGATTACAGGATGTTCACACATAGATTAAACTATACATTATATGTACATATACAAGATGCATCAGGATAATTAGTAAGTGAACGTACATTAGAGACGTGAATAGAACCTACTGCAGAGGTCATCCTTTTCTTTGTTCGGCTTGTTCCAGTGGCGGGGTTCAAGATCGCTGCTAGATGTGATACGATGAAGAACCAGATCGCATGTTGCCCCATTGACCCTGCCAGGTTTTATTCACAATCAAGCCGCCAGTGAAGTGTGTCGGCCATTCTTTGTCTGACTGCAGTGTTCGTGATTTGCAGGATGTATGCATCCCCGACCAGGAGGACTTTGTGGGTGACAATGCCTTCCGAGGCTGCAGCTACTTGCTTCGTGTCAGCATTCCCAACTCTGTGAATCAGATCCGGTGCTGTGCTTTTGGTGACTGTAGCTCTTTGACAACCTTGAGCCTTCCAGCGTCTTTGACTCAGATTGGAAACGGTGCTTTCCAGCGCTGCTCTTCATTGAAAAGCTTAGTCATCCCCGACTCGGTGACTCACATCGGGCGGAGTGCATTTGAGGGATGCACGTCTTGTACAAGCTTTGGCATGCCTAGCTCCCTGACTTGCATTGAGACTGGTGCTTTCAGACTCTGCAGTTCCTTGACAAGCCTAGTCATCCCGCACTCTGTCACTTGGATCAGAGACTCTGCATTTGCACATTGTGGGTCCTTGAGAAGCTTGACCATACCAAACTCAGTGACAAAGATTGGAGAGGATGCCTTTGTACACTGCATCTCTTTATCCAGCGTGTGCATCCCAAACTCCGTGACGATCATAGGAGCCTGTGCCTTTGAAGGGTGCACATCGATGCATAGCTTGACCTTATCAGACTCTTTAAGAGAGATTGGTTACAGGACCTTTGCAGGATGCTGTTCCTTGACCCATTTGATAGTCCCAGACTCGGTGTCTCAGATTGGTATGGGTGCTTTTTCAGGTTGCTTCTCCCTGACAAGCGTGATCATCCCCGATTCTCTCCTTGGAATTGCTACCAGTGCCTTTCAGGGCTGCAAGTCTTTGGCAAGCTTGACCATTCCCAACTCTGTGTTTCATTTGGGAAATGCAGCCTTTGCAGACTGCAGCTCCTTGACAAGCTTGACCATTCCCAACTCTGTCACTGAGATTGGCTTCCAAGCCTTTGCAAACTGCATGTCCTTGAGAAGCTTGAGTATCCTCAGTTCGGCAGCCCGTATTGGAGAACCCTGGGATTGCTGAGCAGGTGACTTTGTGGGGTATTTGATATCCTTTTGTAGGGAATCTCAGGAATCGGAGGAATCTCTAATGTTGTATCACTCTAAGATATATTCTGCATGTTGTTGCACTTCGCACACCATTTTTGAAGAATGTTCTCGGCATGCGCATTCGGTGGTACTCCAGAGCATCACGAGGCTTTCAACATCATATGTATCCTTTTTTTTTTCGGTCAATTTTTCAATATATATATATATTTATTATTTCATTTTCAGATACCAAAAGATGATCTATAGGTGGCGGTGTTTTCACATTTGTTTTGATGCACCGGAGCAAACAAAATTGTAGAAAATACAGATGCATCCTGCTTCAGGTGTTTTTTGTTTTTTCTTCGCATCATATGTCCTACGCCCCACCACTCTACAGTAAACATTACAATTCCACCGGCCATTTTTTTACTTGCGCTTCTCACCAAGCATTCAGAGCACCCAATCGCCAGCGTTTCGATAGGACTATATAGTAGGGACATGAACATGTAGGGACCATGGCCTCAGATGGATAACACGGTATCAAGGCACTCCTTGCAGGTTGGTCACCGTTGGTCACCCATGATCAGTGTGTCAGGGAATTCGTTTGTTTGTGGAGTCGCTGGTTTGTTCGTGAGCAAGCTCAGCCAAGGACCATGCCTTCAAAGGGTGCAATGCATTGACAGACGTGCAGTTCCCTGAATCTTTGCAGTCTCAAACAAAGCGTTTCTTCGAAGGTTGCGGCCACTTGCCACGAACACCCAGCGGCTCGGTGCTGGCTAGGTGCGAGTGAACAACGAGTAAAGATGAACATGGAGGTGCTGCTCGATCCAAGAGGCAAGAAACGGTTACCAAATGTTTCGATCCAAACGATTGCAAAGTCAAAGTATATATCAAAACTGTGTCAGAGTTCCAACTGGATGTGTTCCAACTCAATGCCCAGAGATGCCAAGAGTGAACTGGAACATCTTTGCGCATGTTTGTGTGAATTTGGATCAATCAGCTTGGTTGTCGCGATGCACTCCAAGCCAATCCGTCCTGGTCTGGAAGCTGCATTGGCTCGTGGAAACGACCGACTATGAGGAAGTGGCATGCGGCATGACCCAATGTTGCCTGATTATTATTTTGATCAAGGAACACCACACCTGATCACCGTCACCTGAATTGGCATGAAAGGTGATTTCATTGGACTTTTAGTTTACAAGATGGGCATCGAGTACCGAATGCCTGGCCTAGCTGGGAGACACACCCTATAGAGTTCACTCTGGGACTGCACTGAGTGGTAGAAGCGCGTGAGGTAGTGAGGTCTTGGCGTGGGTGTTTGGGCAGAAAGCACCCCTTCCCGTTTGACTGCCAAGAAACATAGATACCTTATGATACCTTGTAGACACCCAGAAAATCGTTGGTATAGATGTTCGTAGGTTCTGATGTTGTTGCCCCAAGATGATGGGAAAGACCAACTCTATTGCCGAAGTAGGCATGAGTTCTTTCTAAATCCCCTCCCCGACCTCGACCCTTTTTCCACCCCAAATCGACCTGTATTTGTTCTGCTCCTCTTAAAGCGACCTGGTCCGCTCGAGATGGAACTCGGGTCCACGAGGCGATGATTCTGCAAGAGGAGTTTGAGAGGGGAGAGACCCTGGAGACTGACACCTGGCCGATCTCTTTTTTGGGGGCTCTTGGCCACTTGAGATCAGTAAATTCATGTAAATTCAATTAAATTGGGCTCCCTATTTTTTCAACCCCCTCACCCTATTTTTCCAACCCCCCC